ACTAGGAGCGATCGGACGCTACGAACGGGGCTCCTGGCCTTACTACTGGGAACGATCGGACGCTACTAGAAGCTCCTGGCATCGCTACTATACAAGTTACTAGGAGCGATCGGACGCTACTAGGACTGATCTTGTTTGATCCGATTTGTCGACGTCCGATCTTGTCCGATCTAGGCCTGAGCTCACCTGGCGATCGCTCTTCGACGTGGAAGCTGCCTCAGACAGACTGTTTGTCTTTCGTCAATGGCACTGTACTCTCCTGTTCTTGTCATTGCACGTGGATTTGGGCTTGATCTGGACCTCATTTGGCTCAAAGTATCTCAAAGTGGCTCACTGCTACTACCGGTTATTCTGACAAGTTCTGTCGTGCCTCGGACGGCGTGTTGGACAGCCGACAACGATTCGGGCCGAGGCATCAGAGGCAGCCTATAGTCAATGGTGACCTCAACGTGGTTGCTCTTCCCCTTGTTGCAGGTCCTTTGCTCTGCCGAGAGCCATCAGGCGAAGATGGTTGTGGCAGCAGACGGATTTGCCAACTTGGAGCATACAAGTCTCATGCGTTCAGATGTTGACATTGCGAAGCCTGAGAATTTGGTACGGAATGGCGATTTCGAGTCAGGCATCAGTGGCTGGACGGAGTACAAGCATCAACACCGACGCAATGGGATGCACCTTCACCACCATGATGGGCGGAAACTGATGCACCTCCATGGCTCATGCCCAGATACAGGTGGCGGAGCCCAGCAGCAGGTGAAAACAACACCTGGCCGAAGCTACACCTTGAAGTGGACAGCGTTCACCGGCTTTTGGGACCATCGCCAGGATGCGGAGTTACAGGTCAAATTCGGAGACTTTGAGAAGACCTACAAGGTTGAGAAGGATGGGGGGCCCACACATCACGGCAACAAGCGTCAGGGATGGAAAGAAGTTTGAGGAGACGGTGACGACTTCCACAGAAGAGACTGTGCTCTCATTCTGGAGCCCGGTGGGGCATTGTATGGACATTGATGATGTGGAGCTCACTCTGGATCCCACGACGACCACCACTGCCAAGAGTGGCTTGAAACGGAAGGCCGCCATTGGCAGCCTCGTTGGGGTTCTTGGCCTGGCTTTCATGTGATGTCGCACCACACGGAGCTTTTGGCAGTTGAGTTGAGCTGAGCTGAGAGAAGATGATTCATTTGCATCCATTGCAGGCTGCACTACACTCGTTTCACTTTCATACCGAAGCCTGGAGGGTCTTGAGTGCACCCTCATTCCGAAGGGGAAAAGGAGACTGTCTCGACCAACTTTCGCCGAGATCCAAGGGGGCACAGTTTTGCACTGCCATACAGCGTCCTCCAGCAATGTTGGTTTCATGAATTTTGTTTGGGAGTCCTCTCCCTTCGTTTAAGCTTTAAGACGAACTCGGTTGGACAAGGTTTCGGGAGTTATGGGCAAACCGGCTTTTCCAGGTAATCACCAACGCGCAGAAGCCTGACTTTTGGACTCTGAGGCGTGGTAGACTCTCATGTCTCGTCATTGCTTCAGAATTAGTTAGACAGTTAGATTAGACTCTTGTTTCTTGCATGTGCGCCGCAGGCATAGGAACGCGGTCCAGCGCATGTTTAAATAGACATAGTTGATGCTTTTGCACCTGCAGAGCCATCATCATTTCAGCCTATAACTGTAGCTGTCAAGGATGCCTTTGTGGGAAGTGATGGACGAGGAGGGATGAGACGAACTCACCGGTGACGTCGGTTTCTCATGCCAAGCAAAAGGCGGGGGGCCCTTTCTGGCAGACGCATGCCAAGCGAAGCATGCACACCAACTCAGGTTCCATTCCATGGAAGAGGAAGTCCCACTGCTCGCAAAAGTTTTCCAAGCGGCCTTGTTACTACTTTCAGTGAGTCGCAATGCATCAGGCCCATCAGGGCGTGCAAAGGAAAGTGCACCTTGACAAGGTCCCATTTCAAGACATGAGTCAACCTCAAAATTATCATCAACCACTTTTGAAGGGACGTTTCATCCATATCGTTGTGTTTGAGTTAGTTGAGGTTTCTTTTGATACGCCCGTTGTTCGATTGGAAGCTGTTTGTGCTTGAAAGGGGGATCTAGCTATGCCAGCCATTTGGTGTGTGGAGAAGCGGGAGCCCACTCATGGTTGCTGAAGCTGAGCCGTTGCAAGCCGTTGCTGATTTCTTTGGTGCCGCTAGGTGCGCCATGGCTGCGGAGGCTAAGCCATTGCTGCTTTGGTCGGCGCTACTCATGGTTGCTCAAGCTGAGCCGTTGCAAAGCCGTTGCTGATTTCTTCAGCGCCGCTGGGTGCACCTTGGTAGCGGAGGCTAAGCCATTGCTGCTGTTGTTGGCGCTGGTTTTGCACTGATTGCCCAGAGACGATCTTATGGCATCTATCTATCATCTATTGTATAGGTCTTCACACTGCAATCATAGCTAGCGCAGACGTATATTGAATAATTTCTCAGCTTCATGTCGCGACTGCAGCCCTGCTTCATCCAAAGTGAGCAAATTTCGCACAAGTGACGGTGGTCCCAACAGTCTGCCTTATCGATACCCCTATCGATACCCCTCCACTGAGGCCAGACGACTAAAGTGATCTATGGACCATTTGATCTCCTGTCGATACCCCTGTATCAGGTCTAGTTTATCCTTTTTGCGCCATGAGGAAGACAGCAAAAGCTATGGCTGCTGTGCGGCTGCTGCTGAAAGAGGCATTGGCCAATGAAGCAGAAGGTCCTGAGTTGATACATCCTTGACTAGGAGGCAGGCAGCGCAAAGCCATTTGATAGCGGGGGGTGCCGACCAGTGCTATACAGGAATGCCTGCTGCACACAGCTTGGTTTTGAGAAAAGGGTGAGGCGGGCTCAGAAACAGAAGCAAAGGGCAGCAACAAAAAAGAGGCAGCGAGACCTCCGACACCTGCTCGGATAGTTGAAAATGTGGATCCCAGAGGTTATAAAGTTATAAATCATCTAGATTCAAAGACTCCCCTCTGCGGATGTGAAATCCTCCTTGTGATTCCAGTGGATATTGCATATGATCTTGGCAATGGTGCTTCCTCTCTGCCCGCTGTGGCCTTAATGAAATTGATCGGCATTGTGCTGAACTTTGTTACTGCCTAGTGCCGATATATGGCAATGTCCATGTGGCAACGGTGCTCCAAGCTGGTAGTGATGAGGGATGGCTGCACAAATGACACGCTTCACCGGAACGTGACTAGTCGAGTTGGATAGGGATGTAGTTGCATGACATCATAACCAAAACCTTGGAAAACGATACGGGACTCACAAAAAGAAAAAGAAAACAGCCCAGCCAGATAATATTGACGCTAACTCACATACTTGTCATGAGAAACAACCAAAGATATGCCTTTTCGATGACCACTTGGTTTCCCGTTGACCAGCCTCACCCTCCGCAGTTTCCATGTTGTTGGGGTTATATTTGTGCGATTGTGAAGCGATACAGACAGCCGGTGAAGAGGATTTTGTTAACAGCAGCTTTGCATCCAGTACGCCAAATCTCAGCTACTATTGGAGTGTGGTGGCCCGCCAGCCTATTGCAACAAGAATGACTCAAGGGGTGCTCCCATAGTTTTTCTTAGAGTCTTAGAGTCTAAGAGTTTTACATGAATGCGACGCGGTTTTGGGTAGTTTGTTGGTTTTTAGTTAATTAAGTTTCCATGCCTGTCCAACGTCAATAATTATGATATTTTCCCAGACCTGGGCTGACACATCATCCCATCTACAGTTCTGTCAGGGCTTGACCCTGGAAAATGTGTGTCTTTTACATAATGCAGTTTGCACATGCCGCTGTAGGGTCAATACAGTTTTGGGTCCGTTTGGAGCTGGTTTCCTCACAAACTGTCGGCCCAAGGAGGTGTTTCACTCACAAATCTGGCTTCAAACCCTATAAGGTTAAAACCTAAGTTTCACGCGAGAACTTCATCGCAACTTCATGAAATTTGTTGTTGATTGTGAGTTTATGGCTTTGTCGTTGCCAAATCGGCTGCCTGGTGGCCTGGTGTTTGAAGGAACGCGGCCTTACTCATTCAACCCCGAGAGCCAAGATGGAGGCCATGGCATTAGTGGAGGAATGGACATGAGGCATGGTCAAAAAGACCTCTGCAGCATAGCGACACTGAACAAACCTTTGGTTACTCATCTCAACCCCATGTCCCTATGGGGGGCTTACCATGCCGCATGACAGATGACCATGATGTTGTGCTTTGGTCCTTGGAGTGGAATCCTGTAAGAGCCTGGAAATGAAGGCGCCCCCCCAAACCTCGACTGGATTGGTTTCCAGGTGGGCCGCGTTTACTGCGGCGGATATGCACGCATGGTGGAAGAGTGCTTTGCATACGGTGGGCAGCAGGCGAGAGATCATCGGGAGCTCTACTTCTATCACAACGGTTCCTGTGTCGAATGTAGGTGAACCCCTTCGAATGTTTTGGCATCTTGGCTGGGCCTCACACCGAAGGAGGGTGCCACATGACCTGTCCACCAGAGCCACAGCCTCATCAACCATCATCAACCATATGTATGTATATATGTATATAGTTTGGTTTGGGATTGCAGGCAAGTTTGAACCCATCCGACCATAGGAGAGGGATGTTAGACAGGATACGGAAGCATTCGGCCCACTGCGGGGCGGAAGCGTTTGACCGCAGGTGATGTACATTGGTGACCACATCTATGCCGATACGACGTTCGACCGCATCAGTGAACCCATTGATTGGATTGTGACTGAACAAGCTTGGGCCTGCTTGAATCGGTTTTGACATGTGCTTTGGATCACTGCAGGAATGTGGCAAAGTCGATTCTGCAGTGGCAAACCTGCCTGATCATGCGTGGTGCCCGCACGCTTGCGCCTCATAGCGAAGGTTTCAGGTTCATTCAGTACTATGCCAGCATCCTTGAGTCAACGTGAAGAATGTGTGATGCTGCGTTATTGTGAACCAAGGTGTAGCTTAACGTTTGCACTTGCAGACCCCGCGGCTTCTTTGCACTTGTTTAGGATTCGATCCGATGGACCCTGGGTGTCCCTGCTGCTTTGTTGTGGCAATTCAACCCCGATTCGCGATCGGAATGGGAGCATTCCAGAATTTCAGAGTAGGAAGACGGAGGCCATAGACCCATGCTTTAAAACTAAATAGAATACTAGCCGCAGACCATGAATCTGGGGCCTGGAGAAGCCTGCCAGGTGAGCTGGAAGGAGAGGCAGGACAGAGCGGAAGCTGGTGAAGTTTGGGCAAATGCCTTTCAGAAACCAGGAAGTGTCAATAGAATCTTGCAAGTCCATTGTTGTTTCTGATAAGTGGATGTTAGTCATGCATGCATGTTGAAATGTGAAAGCACATCCTGAACAACCTGACGTATTTGTGGCATACTCATCGTTCGTAGGTCCTAGGTGGTGGGAAAAACGATGAAAAACGATATGTGCAAACATTTTGACATCCAGCTTATTATGTGCGAGTGTGCCCCCTTCACTGATAGACGCCTACCACTCCAAACGATACCTTCCCCAGCCCTGGCACGGTCGCAATCGATTGGTGAAGCTGCCAGGTGCGGGCTTTAGCACGGTCGCAGCAACGCAGGAGAGAGTTGGGCGAGCTGCCCGGTCGCCCCAGGAGCTGCCCTCGCCACGTTGGACGCGAGCGGGGACGGACGGGCCAGCCCGGTCGCCCGATTCGACCGAAAGACGTCCAGAAGTCGACGGCGTCGAGTCCCACCGAAAAAAGGATGTCCTTTGAAGAGGTTCGATGTGCGGTGCTTTTCCACCGGTCCACCATTGAACCATTTCCGAGTGGCCTTAGGAAATTGAAGACCCACCGGTCACCGAACGTTCAACCATTCTGGCTTTCGGACATTGCCCGATGGGGTGTTCGGGCTTCGATGTGATCAATTTGCCTCAGGCTCGTCCGCCGCGATGAGCTCTTGCAGCAACGGGGAAGGTGCGGAACGCCAATTTGGCAGGGAATCAGAGAACACACAGTAAAACTGTAAATCCGTTTGACGCATTGGTTGACTCTCGTCTCCCCTATATTCATCCATTCTCTCTCTCTCTCTCTCTCTCTTTGTCTCTCCCTCTCTCTCTCACGCACGTAGTGCTTGAAATTGGTCCATATGCGCTGCATGTGGTATCAACATGTACCAAGCTAGTACAACAATATGAGTACAATATATAATATATATAATAATACTATATTTAATTTATATTATCAATGATGATTTATGAAAGAAATGTTAAGCCGTGATGCCATGGGCCTGATGGATGCCATGTTTCCTTGTGCAACCACAGCTGGACCGGACTGGGCTGGATCTGAGGTTCTTGTTGAAGGCTGGCCGAATGCGGCTGGGCATCACTGAGTGTAACGGCGATGCGCCAAGATTTGGCAGAATGCAGTGACGTGTTCTTAGTCAAGTAGCTTCTTGTTACTACTAGTAAGGCACTTGTTACTACTAGCGTGGCACTTGTTACTAGGAGCTTCTTGTTACTCTTAAACATTTCAGACGGACTTTTCAACCGCACTGAACTCTAATAGCTGCAAAGACCCGACTTTCGACGTGTGCATCTCCGATTCCATGACCCGCCAATCACACCGAGGCGTGCCAGCCAATCACTGGGAGGCGTGCGAAGAACATGTGTCGTTGTGTTCCGACGCCAGGTGTGGTGCCCGAGTGAACGATGCGCCACAGTGACACAGTGTTCACTTGTGAAGGGCTGAAATGCACCGCCAATATTGGGACCAAACCTAACAGTAAGTCTGTTGGGTGTTCATGGAGGTGAACAAAAACAGTCAATAAACACAGGTCCGCACGTGATGGCACAGATAAAGAGCAACTTGTTGATCCAATTCTTCAATTCTGTATTATTGAGTCTGGCTCACGTGGTCACAATGGCATCAGCCAAGTCGTTGCAGCTACAGCTCAGTTGTGCATGATTGAAAAACCCGAAACGAGGGCGTTAGCGGCGTTAGCCAGCAAGATCGCCATGGCGGCTGTGTGGTTGAAACGACGGAAGGAGCTGCAGCGCCTTGGCAGAGGGACCTGAGGAAGTTGTGGAGATAGGTCAAAGCTCACGGGAAACGCTGGACAAACATCCACAATCCGCTGTGCAAACGAATGGTGGAAGTACGGTCCGAAAAAAGAGCGTATGCTCCATGAAGGACCGGTGGGTGGGGGTGGGGGTCTCTTCATTTCAATAATGTCTAGATGATCCCCGATGTGATTTGATCATCCTGCTTTTCACATGTGATCCCTGGTGCTGAGGTGTTTGTTGGATCCTTCTCAAAGGCAGGCCGTTGAACAAACACGCTGTGCAACATGCCATCGGCCACCAGCATCATGTGCTTCAAGAACATGTTCCGCGGAGTTGCATGTCAACCATCAATTAGGGCCTTAGGGAAGATGTCCAGCTTTTTCAGATCAGTCCACCAGCCAGGGCCAAAGTGTCGGGTGCTCATCGTTGGTGCGACGAACGCTGCCATGGCTCCAGGTCCCAGAAGGAGCCAGAAGAAGAGTGGAAGCTTCCAAAGGAACTTTCTCCTCGAATTGCCGAAATTCGCCGCTGGGGCGGAACGGTCGCCGTGACACCTGGTGTGGGCCAGCATAGTGGCAACATTGGGGTTGAGCAAAGGTACGGCATGATGTGTGAAGTGCGTTACTCCCAAGTGCCCTGTGACTCTCGGTTTCCAAGTCTCGTGGCGTCGCACTGGCTTTTCGTTGACAACTAGGTGGGTGCATCCAACTGACACTGTATATATATAGTTTATTACTATACTAATTACTGTAGAAACACCATGAAACACCCAAATCTCCAAACCCAAAAGGGGATCATGCAGATCACCAAGTTTGCCACGGATGGCTATCACTGACTGTTACTCGTTGTTCATGTGGCAAGTTCCGTCCGGTTTATTTTTGCAGAGCTGCATCGACTTTTTTGGACAGGCTGGCAGGACGACAGGAATGTTTGACACGTCATTTTTTTGTGGTCGGTTCTTCTCAGGGAGGATCGTCATGGAACAGTCGCAGACGGTGGATGAGTCTGATCTGGAGTACTGGCCCAAATCGAGCGCAGGAGGCAGAATCATGTGGGACCGCCCGTTCCAAGATTTGACCGCCCACTACAAAACATGATCACATATTGAGACTGAGATATATTGGGTTTGTCCTATCATACCTGTAACAGTGAGTAAACAATTTCTTTGAACAAGGCCTTTGCGAACCATCATCCACTGTTACTGGTAAAAGATAGACCCAATCCAAATATATTGTATGTTCTTGTTCAACTAGATCATGAGACTCAGAAAAACGTGCTGAAGGTTTTTGTTGAGCAGAATCAATATCACAGACAATTCCGTACCGCAGGTAGCAGTTTTCTACACTTACAATAACTATTCAGTTTGCGATGCAACGGTCCTGGGATTCCAAGTCAAGATAAAACAGACAAAACACATGATTCACGACTGAAGTTGGATGGACCATGAACGGGCCCTTGTCACCGCTGGTGTGCATAGGCAGATCGTCGCACAAGAGCTTGAGGTTCCAGGTTCATGCTGGTCTGGGAACACCCCAAGACATAGCAGACACAAACCCCAATAAAGCGAAGGGGGCAAGATCAGCTTCCAGTGTTTGGTGTGCCCACGGTGTTTTGGGCGAGTGTTTCTTGGCGCCTAGTAGCGTCCTTGCTCCTAGTAGTACGGCCAGGAGCCCCTAGTAGCGTCCTTGCACCTGCAGGATCTGAACATCCAAGCCTAAGTTCGGCCAGTCCAAGCCCAGTGGGGCCAACGAGCCCTCAAGGCCGCCGTGCCACACGAAGCGACACGAAGCGAACAAGCAAGCGACGGAAGCACGAAGTCCATCGACAGGAGGTGACTTTCTTCTTTGGGGTTTGGCACAGTCCTGGCCAGGGTGGACTCTGGATGTATTTGGATTTGGACTTTGTGGTTCTTTTTTTCCTCGACCCTGCTGACCCGGATTGGTGTCCCTGATCTTTACCTGCGGAATTTGGTTTCTTCGTTGGACGGTGGTTTCTTCGCCCTGTGGTGTTGACTCAGGTGTGCTACTTTCTTCACCCACTTCTGCCAGCGAGACAGGCAACACTGGGACTCTTTGAAGTCTCAGAATTTGTGGAGATGAGTGGTGGATTCATTTATTCCCACTTGGAAGATGCAAACGGATCCAGAGATTCAGGAACGGCAGTCCACCGGTGTTCATTCTGTTTGGGCGCAATGATGTAGGTCCTTAAATTGGTCAGCAAAATGACACAGAGAAACAGAGAACGTTCCGGGTTGGTGTTTTGAAAAAGGAGAGCCATCCAAAAATGTGACCAGGATCGACAACTCCTGCTGCCGATCTGCCCAGTCCAGCCAGCCCTGGCACTGTCAGCTCAGGCGATGGTTGCTGTGCGACGCAAACATGTGGTGTCACATGAGATTTTTTTACGTAAGGTGCTTGTTATTTGGGTGGAAGTCTGGCAAAGAGTCTTTGGTCTTCATAAGTCGGCAAGCTCCCAAAATATGTGGGTATTTTGTGGGATGGCCGCAATATTTGGTGTCACTGGATCACTCACACTGCTGAGCTCATGCTGTGCATTGTTGGTAGACTGCAGAAAGACATTTGGATAGATTTTGGGTGTTTGGAGTCCAGATGGAATGACTCTATCTTGAGAAGAATGGAGAGAAGAATGGATGGCCTTGAGCATGAGCCCATTGTGGCTGGAGGGTGTGTATAGGAAACACTTGACTACTGACAATGTATGCCTACATGCAATTTACCA